AGCGTTGCAATTGGCGCTGGGTTTCGATGACCGCGCGCGCCCGGGCGCGCGCGCACCCCTGCCCCAGGCCGACGCGATCGAGCATTCGAGCGCCCACTGAGCGAGCAACCACGCTGAGCGCTCAGGCAGCGCGGCGCCGGCAGGTGCGCAATCGCGCTGGTGGCCTGGCGAGAGCGCGCGCGCTGTGGAATAGCTACGGCGCGCTCCTGGTTCAACCGTGCATGCCGCGCTCCACATGCACCCGCGCGTCGAGGCATATAATATCACGCAGCACTACAGATTGCAGCAACAGTTGCAGACGTCGCTGCTGACTCGTTGCCAAGCTAGTCATCGCGGCGCTCGCGCGTGTCATCGATGCACCGACGCGCGCGCCCAGATGGCGCGCGTCGCGCGGTGCCAGCGGCATTTGCGGGATGATTCGAAGAAGCCCCCAGCCCAGACTCGGCGACGTCAGCCGGGGCTGCGTCGTCTGATGGCGCGCGCCCCTGCGGGGGGGTAGCCAGCGGTTGCGGCCCCATGCATGGCGCGTCGGAAACCTGCGCGGACTGGCAGCACGGGCCCTGTCATTGCGCGGTCGCTGGCAGCAGTTCCCAGGCAGCGCCCGCCAAAGGCGCGCGCAAATCGGGAAGGCGAGCCGCGCGTTGGCGCGGCAGCCGGCAGCGGCCCCCAGGCAGAACGCCCCAAGGACAAGTGCCAAGTGACGGCATGGGCCCTATTGCAATGGAGCCGCAAAGCGGGGCGCGCCAGAGACCCGACGCGCGCCCCGGACCTGGCCCGGCTCGCGCGCGCCGCGGGAAACTGGCGCGCCGACGCGGGCACAGCTGGTCACTCCCACCGTCGGCGCCACGCGCCTGCACTAGATCGCAGTCTGAGCCGGTGCGAAGCAGGCAGCGAAGGCAGCGGCTCGCCGACAGCGGAATGCAGGCGCGCGCGCAGGGCCAAGTTGCACACGGCGCCTTCGTCGAGGGCGCTGAATAGCGCGGCGATAGAAAAGCTGTCGCGATGCAACCTTGTTTTTCACGCCACAACAACGACTGGATTTGTGTCGCAAGTACCAACGCCAACTGTGAGCTACCGTGGATGTTCAAAAACTGCCCTGGTCACAAGTTGTCTATGTTCGTTGTTGACCCCAAATGCCACCGTTGACCAAATGTGCAGAACTGCCGAATTTCCACCCCACGATAATGGCCTTGTCCCACTAGACCATGCTGGACACTCAGACGCGGGCGAAAAGAGGTCGGCGCTGCCCCGAGCGCGTCGGACACCAGGTTCTGCTGCGGCAGAGCTCTCGATCCAACCCGACACCGAACAACCTCTTTCCAGCGCGCGCCGAATACGCGGCGCGCGGGAAAGGGGCGACGTCGCTCTGCGACAACCCCAGCAATGCACGGCAGCGCCTTCTGCCCGCTGACTCGCGGCCGAGGCACCGCTGCGCCGGCAGATCCGCGCTCCGCGACCAGCGCCTGAGGCGCGCGGCAGGTCGAAGCGCGATCATCCTGGCGACGCCCTGCCTCGTTCGCCCCGCGGTCGGCAGAGGGCCCACTGGCCGGCGCGGGCGAACGAGCTGTTGCTCTGAGAAGACTCGGGCAGTGACCCATCATGCCCCCCCTCCTTCTGGGGACAGGAAAGGAGTGGAAGCGCGTTCATCTCCGCAGTGATTATGCGCGCAGTCATCTCGGCGCTGAACTCGCCGGGCAGTTGCCCCCTCGTCTCCTGCCCGGCGCGACGGACGGGGAGGGAGAAGAAGTTTTGCCGCAGTACTCAAAGCGACAAAGAGGCCGCTGCGTCAGCGCACGCGCGCGAATGCATCGCAGACTCATTTCGACCTCACTGATACCGCGGGGTTGGGCGGGTCGCCAGAAGGCGGCGCGCGCGCCACGCACTCGGCGCGCAAGCTGCGGCGCCGCTGACGATGCCAACACCGACGTGAGTCGCACGGCGCGCAGCGCGTCGCGCCATTGACGGAGCTGCTGCACGGGCGCTCGCTTTCACGTCGAACGGCGGCTGCTGCGCGCCTGCGCGGCTTGCCAGACGCGCGCGCCATGGCGCCCCCACTGGGCGGTCTTGCTAGCTGCGACGCGCCGGTGGTGCTGATGACGCTGATTACGATGAAGACATCGACGCCATCCTCGCCGTTGTACGCGGACACGAGAGGCACGTCGGCAGGTCTGACGTACCCTTGCCCAGACTGTGGTCGCAA